AAACCCTAAACCCCTAAACCCTAAACCCTAAATCCTGAACCCTGAAACCCTATCCAAATTTGCGTTGGGCCCCGGCGGACCAACACCCGAAGCGGTGTGGGTATGCTACGGGACTATTATATAGCTTCGATAGCCCCTCGTATAGCTCTAAGACCTTCCGCGTCGGCGCCTTAATAAGGTACTTCGTCGGCCGGCCCGTCTTCTCCCTCTCCTATTATTTCTTCTATCTCTCCTTAATGCGCTTACGGGTGTTGCGCTTCGCCGCGGAGGCTAGGCGGACAAAGTGTTTCTCCGAACCTACACCCGCACGATACTAGCAGTTTTTTTGAAAATAAACCCTACCGACGCGATATATAGCGGAGATAGGGTTCGAGAAAATAAGGCTCCTAATTGCTATTTATCAAATTCTATATTAAGGCGATAAAGATAAAATATAAGGAATAGTAATCGAAAAAAAGGGAGATAGGCGTAATAAGAAATACATAGGGTCGGGTTAGTCCAAAATATATATAGTCGGGTTAGGTTAGGTTAGTCCAAAATATATAGGGTCGGGTTAGCCCAAAATGTATAGGGTTGGGTTAGTCGGAAATGCACAGGGTCGGGTTGGTCCAAAATGCAGGTCTGACCTTATGCATTTTCGACCAAGCCAATCCTATATATTTCGGACCATATCCCCTTTGGGAAATTTCGGACCAAACGCTAACCTCTTTCGGAATTTTGGACTATCCATACCCGCTCAAGGAGAGCAACTTTAAACCCCCCTATAAAATTCAATAAAATAGATAAAAATATTCTGATTTAATATATAATATCTGAAGCACTTTTACTTGTAGGGAAAAATATAATATAATCTAGTTTCGCTTATATAAGCGTATCGTTTGTGCCGGTTTTTGCCTACTAGATATATTTTTAAATAGGTATTAGTAAATCGCCTACTTTATATAGATTATATATTATATATATTATAAATATATAGACGCTTATTAAAGATAGCGTTAGTATTTCATAGGGTAAATATAAAGGTAATTTAGATAAGTCACTAGAGAAAATATATCTTAAGAGTGGGCCTAAGAAAGTCGCGAACTTATACCCTTTATTATATACTAAATCTATAGATAATAAGGAGTTTAAATAAATTATTAAATAAGGTAATATATAGATAATATTATATATTTACTAAGATACCTATAGTACGTAAGGAAAACATAGAAGCTAAGTATAATTTAAAATATAGAGGGTAGCCTTAGTCGTAAATATAAAGGGTAGCCTTAGTCAAAAATATATAAGGTTAGATTAGTCAAAAATATAGAGGGTCAGGTTAGTCTAAAATACAGACCTAACCTTATATATTTCTGACTAAGTCGACCCTATATATTTCCGCCTAAGTCAATCCTATATATTTCCGACTAAGTCGATCCTATATATTTTTAACTAAGTCAATCCTATATATTTTTGACTAAGTTAATCCTGTATATTTTTGACTAAGTTCGACCTTATATATTTCCGACTAACTTAACTAAGTCGACTCTATCCCCTCTAAAGCCGCTTATACTTATATCTATTACAGACTTTATAATAGCCTTAGATTATAATACTAATAACTTTAATTTAATTTAATTTAAATTCTATTAACCTAATTAAGCCTTATTAGTATTATCGAGGCTATATAGGCGCTTTAGCTAAATCCGAAGCAGAACTTATTATCCGTAACTCTAGACGCGTAGCTTATAGTAAATAATATATATAAAGGGAAACCGGCCTCTCTAAGAGGCTAACACAAAAAAGAATATCAGAATATCTATATCCTATATATAATTAAGCCTATATAAAAGTTAAACCTAAAAGATAATACCTATAGTCTTTTACTTCTTTTATATCCCCCTCGTCCCCGCTATATACTTCCGCCTATGTAGTGTTAGTTCTCTGTTCCCTTTATAAGAATAAATACTAAGTGCTTCGGTTCTTAGTTAATTATAGTATATAGTGAATTGATAATTATTTTAGTGGCCTCACTATTCTCGGTGGCCTAGTATTATCGTTCGGTAATATATATATAGTGTCTTTATAACCTTCCTATAGCTATAAGGCTAATTTATTTATAGTTATTATTTAGTTCCGGCGCAATATATCGGAATTATCCTAAGAGACCTATTTAATATATTATTATAATAGCGTAGCGGGCCACACGCGGGTAGGATATAATAGTATCGTAGTTTATAGTGTTGCTAAGGTCAGTGCGAGCGACCTTATTAAATATAATTCTTTATAAATCACTATATAGTGGGTATTAGAGTAAGATATATGTCGGCATTTAAGATCCTTACTTATAATAATAGCGGTCTAATTCTCTTTCTTTAATTTTATATAAGAAGTGACCTAGTCTAATACGTATTAACCTTATTTAGATAAGGATAGATATATATAGCTTCGATAGCCCCTCGTATAGCTCTAAGACCTTCCGCGTTAGCGCCTTAATAAGGCACTTCGTCGGCCGGCCTATCTTCTCCCTCTCCTGTTGGAGCATAAGGGGAAAGCTACCACGAAGCAGATCGTGGCCCCTTAAGTCCGTGGGATCAACCTTAGTCCGGCCAGGTCAGTCGGTGCCAGACAAAGGAAGAAGGTCAAAGGTCGTAGGATAGACTATAAGCAGATATAGCCTAAACGAAGGCAGAACCACAGTCCTAAGGATCAAAGGAAGAAAGTAGAACTGACTTTAGAAAGTGGAAAATGACTTGATTCTTTCTGCTAGAAAAGAAGGACATATTTATAGGCTAAAGTAGCCTAGAAATGACGTCTAGAATAACATACAAATACTAGACAGCAACATAATAAAGGTGGCAAAGAAGGGAACCGAAGAAAAGCCAAAAGAATGATGTCAAGAATCGACGGTTTCAGCCACCCCGAAAGCTTCCCCGCAGTATCAGGTTATGCATGCCCAAAGGTGGACCATTTTATCCCTAAGGGAAAGTGGTCCGCCTATCCTTGAGGGGACTGAGGGTCGAAGTCTGTTCACCGAGGTTCGAAGACCATGGTCGAAGTCCGCAGGCAAGATATGCCCGAAGGCACCTCCGAAGGAACGGACCATTCATGCCTGAAGGCGGACCATTTACCTCTGAAGGAAAATGGTCCTGCCTATCATTCGGGAGAGGGCCGCGGACCAGAATCAGAAGTGGTCAAAATATCATTTTGATAGAAGAAAAAATCTGGTCACGTGATTAATACAATGCTGATCTTATATGTTGAATATAAGGATAGATCTTTCTATGTAGCATTGGTCTATATTCCAATATCTCCTATTATTTTTTTCTATCTCTCCTTAATACGCTTATAGGTGTTACGCTTCGCCGCGGAGGCTAGGCGGACAAAGTGTTTCTCCGAACCTATACCCACACGATACTAGTGAAACCCTACTAACGCAATATATAGCGGAGATAGGGTTCGAGAAAATAAGGCTCCTAATTACTATTTATTAAATACTATATTAAGGCGATAAAGATAGAATATAAGGAATAGTAATCGAAAAAAAGGGAGATAGGCATAGTGAGAAATGCATAGGGTTAGGTTGGTCCAAAATACATAGGGTCGGGTTAGTCTAAAATACAGGTCTGACCTTATGCATTTTTGACCAAGCCGATCTTATGTATTTCGGACCATATCCCCTTTTGGGAATTTCGGACCACACGCTAACCTCTTTCGGAATTTTGGACCATCCATACCCGCTCAAGGAGAGCAACTTTGAACCCCCCTATAAAATTCAATAAAATAGATAAAAATATTCTGATTTAATATATAATATCTGAAGCACTTTTACTTATAGGGAAAAATATAATATAATTTAGTTTCGCTTATATAAGCGTATCGTTTGTGCCGGTTTTTGCCTACTAGACTTCGAACCCCTATAATTACCTATTTATATTATTGGATGAACGTCAAATTTGGGGAATAAAAATCGAATGGCTAAACTAAAAGTGACGAAATTCTGCATACGATCTCTCCAGCGGATGTGATTTTAATGCAATCATAATATAATTGCAATGCAATCAAATAGGAAACCCTAACCCATACAAACGGCTGCTGACTAAAATGCAATGCACTGCAATTCAATTACCCCCATGGGATAGAGTAGTCGCTAGTTTAGAACTTTTGAAATTCTTAGTATTGTCCGACCGATATTTTCAACTGGTATACACTCACTAGCGCCATTTTTCTCCCATAGTAAAGCCAAAACCCTAACTGGTATGCAATGCATACCACCACCCCCCATGGGGTAGAGCAGGTTGCGCGACGAGGCGCCGACATGTACAGTCTTAATATATTCCAAAATGGGCCACTATTTTATCGTGGTTTCCTAGTTCGAGAGGTCAGCGGAACAAATACGCCTATGAAGAAACTGCAGGCGTGTACTATGGTATTTTGCAATCCGTAGACGGGAAGATCCCATCGACGAGATCCACTGTGGAAGCGAATGTACAGGATTTGAGGACCTACTTCGAAGAAGACTAGAGTGTCGCGACTGCTCTGGATTCATTCCTATTTCAATCCTAGGAAACATTCTTACGAACGGTCTTCCAAGGCTTTCAACAGTTGCACCATTTCCGTTTTATCCCATTTCTGTGCCCACTCCAAAGCGGTGTCGCCATTCGCGTCCTTCACACCAGTGTCTGCTCCGAGTTGGATCAGAAGACGGATGGCATTCGTCTTTCCCTGCTCTGTTGCTACGTGCAACGCAGTCCCTAAGCTCATCGGTGCAAATCGCATCAAAGTTGGGCCATCCTCATACATTGTCGCGTTCAAAGGCGCACCTCTATCGACGAGGAGTGATATAACATCCTCGATTTCCTGGTCTCGAGATACGGCATACTGAAGAAGCTGCCCTTTCTGCACATCCCCTCCACGATTCAGCAGCAGTTCGATAACACTGAGAGATGCATTGCGAACAGCGTAGGACAATGGGGTGCAGTCCACTTCGCAGGGCGCATTCGGGTTCGCTCCATGATCTAGAAGCCAACTGGTCATCTCGGCGTCCGTTACTGCGTAGCTATGACAATTGATCTTTTGTCATTGGAATGTCTTTTTGGGGAGCGGATCCAACATACCAAAGCACGGGAGGCTTCAAAACATCAACCGGCTCATTTATACTCCATCCTGCTTCGAGGAAACATTCCAGGACGCGCTTCGCCTTGCACTCGGTTGCCTTTCGGGTATAAAAAGGCTGTATCGGGAAGCCGTGAAAAAGAAGGTTGGAGACGATTTCAACTCTGTCCTGTTGAATTGCTTCCATCATCACATCGTGGAGATCCACTATATCGAAAACCTCAGGTTGAGGATTCGAAAGTAGTGAGTCCATCTCATCCTGGAAATCTTTCAGACTCCCATCGACGCACAGAGCCCGCAATTTTGCAATTGTGGCTGAGGCCGTTCGATGAGGAATTGGGAGCCCATCATAGTTGGTGAGATCCTTTTCTGGAAGAAGCCGGATATCCATAGGAGGTGAAGAGAATTTGGTAAAGTTGTGTTGGGTTGTCAATGGGTAGAACAAGATTTGTCTCACAGAGCGGATGATCGTCGCTTAAATACTAATTTTACAGTAATAGATGCGACAAGTCACGCGCAGCTGTTGTGTGGTTCTAGCCAATGCAAAAGGAACAAGAAGCGGGGTTGATCCGAATCCGGCATGCATTGTGAAAGATTTGGGGTGCGAAAGCGCCTGGCCTTCTCATTTTCGGCTAGAATGCTCCTATGGTCCTGCGACCGCGAATGCAAAAGATGATACGTCGTTCAACACTACACCAATCACGCGCTAGATCAGTGGTACGTATAAAGTTATGATAACGAGGTAGAAAGCTGAGAAATTTAGTTCGCTTCTATTTGACGGATATACTGGCCCTTCGTAATTCAAGCCGTGAAAGCAGTCAACTAGAAGTACTTAAGACTAATGACATTCGTTGTAACCTTGAGACCCCGACGACAACCTATTGCATTGACCTTATTTTGACGGTAAAATGCTCAACCTCAAGGACATTTAGAGCCTTCAAATCAGGACATCATCATGATACATCAAAGGCCCGTTCGGTCCAGTCGTAACCACGACCGTCCCTGACCTGGAACGTTCGGATTCACGGGTACCGTATAGTACTTTGCAATCGGAACAAGGCCCATGCTTTGAAGAGAATTCTTCATGATCTCGACTTGACTGGGCAATGCCACTTGGCCCATATATATAGCGCAGACAACCCGTGTTTCCGACGAGGGAAAGTATCCTCGATAGAGATTATATTGAGCTTGAACCTGGCTCATCATGAACCGAGCATTGTTGTCACCTGCTCCAGGAGCTTGGGTTGCGGAAGGAAGTGGTGGTATGTGGGCGAGTATTGCACCAAGTCCCGACGCTATAATCACAGCGGAGCAAGATCCAAGCCCGGAGGTTCCAATTGCTTGCCTTTGTTGAAAAGCTACGAATTGTACCCCTCCCATCGGGACTTCTTGGACACTCCTTGCGTTCCTTAATCGGTCGAGATACCCAGTAGACATTTTGATGATTTGACAGTGTATCTCAGTTACACGCCGGGTGAAGTTGAAGATGGCTTAGTCGATGGCAATTGATGAATGCGTTGGAGACAAATTTCCTAGTTCGGGGCTTGTGTACTTATAGTAGATGAGCTCAATGCTCGCTAACTGTTCTTGTGAGGACTATGTGGTATCGCTTTGTCGAGTTGTCAAAATGTCCCTGACACCACTTATCTGGTCGCTTACAACAGGAGGAAGCGCTAGCCCGTTTCACGCGAACCCTCGCAGCAGGGACGATCAGTGTCCAAAAATTTATCCTTCCAGTTGCATTAGACTTCTGAAACAAGCAAGAACAGTAGGTTTTCCAGGAATCAACTAATTCTCTTTCAATACCTTTCACGAGGCCTACCCATCGGCGCCTTTGATCGGGTAGTTGACTTGGCACCGAGCATTGGGGCTCACACAGGGGTGTGGCGTTGAACCCACGATCATCCAACGGCGTCAGGAGGTACAATAGACGCTCTTGAACTTTCTTTCACTGGCAGTATCATTTACGCGCCCTTGTTAATTGGACAAAATGATGTAAAAGTATCTGGTACGCGCCCAACCCCAGTTTCAGCGTAATGGAAGACCTGATTTCCAATCCATTCGCGCTTCTGTAGAGCGCTGCGTATATGATTGGGGGCCAAATGGGGGGTTCGGTGCTTAGGGCCCGCGGACCGTGCTCTCGGCCCTAGTGAAGTAGATGGGGATTGCACATGAAAGACTTTAGGCAAGGGACTAATGGCTGCTAAAAGCTGGTAAAGCAGTTTGAAGATACTAAGTGAGTGTGATAGTGACATCACGGAGGGGCATTGACCCCTTTTCTGCAGGTCCATCACATTCACTTTCCTGCTAACCACCAAATGAGGCGCTAACCCAACACTGTTTTGACGGTGTCGCGCGACACCGTCAAAACAGTGTTGGGTTAGCGCCTCATGCAACTTCAACTACTGCTGTCTTGGTCCCGACATCGTCGCCCTCGTTCTCATCCTTGAACCTACCATAGGGAACCGGCCAAAAAAAAGCCCAGGTCCATACCGCTCGAAGAGACTGACGAATGGCGAAGTTTACGATTTCTTGAAAACTCTGCCGGAAAGCAGCCACTTTGCCCAATCAGGAGACAACCAACATGATGATCAGGAAGCGAGTGAGTTCCTCCGACAATTATACGTTACTCTCCGTGGCCTGTTTAGTACCACCACAGGCCCTTCTCGCGCGAACCGCACAAGAGTTTTAGAGATCCAGGAACTTCATGTGATTTCCAGCCTCCATGAACAGTTTCCAAAATTCCAAAAGGATCCTTTGAAGTTTTGGGAAATGCACAACGCAACGCTGAAGCCATACGATGGGCAGGAAGGCTTGCATAGGACGAAAGTATTCCTTGAAAATGCGGCTCAACTGGATTCCAAACTTCAAGAGCAAGAGATACTTCGCCGATTCGTATCTGTCGGAGGTTGGAAGCCCTTCCAACGAGCAAATCCGACAGGCGGCAAACGCGTCATGAAGACAAATCTGGAGCTTTTTCTCAATCATGTGGGCATATTGGGTGAAATTTTTGAGAGTGCTCTTGAAGCATACGGGGACCTTATTCGTCGTGGACAGAGATGCGAACACTTCTGCCAGGAACTGGCCTTTGGCAAACCAACCCAGGAGGATACGGAGCAGAGCCACACCAGAGCCGAAGCTGAGGCAGACCGGACAAGCGGACATGAAATCTTTGGGCCCTTATTCTTCTCTTCGATTCCCGGCACAATGTAAGCATCGATCTAGTATCATAATGTACCTTTGCTCACCGAGTCAGTTTTGATGAAAGGGGTAGCCTTGTGGGGAGGACTTTGAAAGCAGCATAAGCTATCTTCGGCGCATTGACATCTTGGAAGCATCTAAAGATTCAAATGCTACGGAGGTGGCAAAAGCTTTGCTTGACTTCCATCGCACACTTTTCTGGATTGATAAAGCGAAGTGACTCTCGTCGAAGAGGACGCGTGGCGGAGGACGCGATGGAACCTCTAAAAAAAGAAAAAAAATATCCAGCGAAAACAACAAACAAAAGCCAATGTGTCGCGAAACCCTCATCCATCGTCAACCCTATGAACCAGGATCCCCGAGGAACAGCAGATTCGTTCGGCCACGCCGTGGGGGAGGAGATTGTCCGATCTCATAGTACGGCACATGAGCCAGCCCCTGAGGGGTAGGCTTTAGAGACCACGGCTTTATGTGAAGGTCACACGGCCTCACCGGCACATCGCCCACAAGAAGAGCAAGAGGTCGGCTTCATTCATAGTGCAGAAGAACCCCAGTCTCGACCCGAGATTCTAGATCTGGCTGCGCCCTCTAGAAACTCTATGGAATATGCCCCGTCAGCATCTGAACCACTTCAAATCACGCCCCTCGATGCTACTGCGCCACATGACGTTACCCTTTCAGAAGAATATTTTGACGCTTCTTTTCTCAGTTTTGTCCGCCCATTTTTCGAGGCGAGTGAGCTCGATTATGTTGGTCCGGGATCGCCCGTGTTCGTAGAACCGTTTTCATGACAGACACGTGTGTTCATAAACTCATTATTTTGAATCAAAGGTTTCGCACAACCCGAATAAATAACAGCAGGATGTCGGCTAAGACTTTTTCTAATGGACTGGCTTCTGTTTCAATAGTATATACATGACATCTTTCCTGGCGATTGTCGCGTCAATGTTCCCCAAGATGGACAACTTTCTTCCGCCTATGAGGGGATAGGTGATACCTCCGACGCTGACGTTCCAGCCTTCACTAGGAGAAATCGGAATGAGCTCTCCAACCCCAAGCGTAATGTTACAACTCGTCCGACATATCCGAAAGGTAGCAACGGTGCATTTCTACTGTTGTCAGCACTACATTCCCCTAACGGCAAAGAAAACGCACCTTAGCGAGTTGCCTTTGAATGTCTAGTAGTCCCTTTTCTGGGCATTGTTCGACGGATTTAAAGTGGTTTTTTACTTCCCAGTTCGCTTCTGAGTTATTGCCCAGTCATTGTTTCAACTCCGCCACAACCAACTGTTCGAGAGGTTCGATGTCCTTCGGGATAATTTTGGGCGCGTTCATAAGGAAAGGGGTGGTGACCTAAAAATGTGTCAGCCCACTTTTCAGAAAATACTGCGGTCGCCATAGGCAAGATGACGCAGTCAGGAAGACCGTTCCCAGATAGGTAGAGGGCTGTCTTATCAGAACAGAACGTTTTGCTAAATAGGCAGAACTGATCCGAATAATTCCCGAGAGGGTAGACTTCGCGCCGAAAGCTCCCCTGGGGACACAAAGATTCTTAGCTAGGAATTTGGGTAGCAAACTTGCGCCTGGTCCGTATAGAAAGTGACACGTTTTGGGCTCCTATGAGTCAGGGTGTTTTTCCCGACGCCTTCGTGGCCGCGAAGACGATAGCCCCTGAGGTCCCTAAGACACTGAGGATGCCTTAGGCCTACGGGGATATTATCATCCGTCCTCGGCTCGTACGGCCTTGACTGGGGACTACACCGGCTATATAGGCTCTATATTATATAAGCATTAGGATAAATAGTATTTAGTCTAAGCCTTCCCCTTCGGGGAAAGGATAATTAATTACTTTGTTTAATTCTTATATATAGTAGTTTATCCGAAGAGACCCTACCTTCTATAGTAGGCTAGGGAGGTGCTACAGTATTAAGGTATCTCGCTAGCGTAAGAGTAACCTAATATACTAAGACGCGGATCTTTTATAGTTATATAAGAAATTACGAAGCCGTAAGGTACTTAATTTCGCTAGGGACTAAGCCTATAAGGCTAAGGAGGGGGACAAAAACTCTATATATTAATATTAGCCTATTCTCTAAGGAAGCCTTAGGCTATAATACCTTCTAAAATCGCGCTAGCACTAATTAGATATCTTAGAAGAATTATATTCTACTAAAAATTATAGAAGGTATTGGGATACAAGGGGAAAGCTACCACGAAGCAGATCGTGGCCCCTTAAGTCCGTGGGATCAACCTTAGTCCAGCTGGGTCAGTCGGTGCCAGACAAAGGTAGAAGGTCAAAGATCATAGGATAGACTATAAGCAGATATAGCCTAAACGAAGGCAGAACCACAGCAAGGCATGCCCGAAGGCACCCCCGAAGGAACGGACCATTCATGCCTGAAGGCGGACCAGTTACCCCTAAAGGAAAAATGGTCCCGCCTATCGTTCGGGGGAGGGCCGCGGACCAGAATCAGAAGTGGTCAAAACATCATTTTGATACAAAAAAGTCAGGTCATGTGATCGATGTTTTTGGGTCTTATATGTTGAATATAAGGATAGATCTTTCTATGTAGCATTGGTCTATATTCCAATAGTACCTCTTAAGAGACTATCGCTAAAGAAAAGTTAAATAACTTTATTTCGCTAAACCTAATAATAGCGCTAACTTAATTACTAAATAAACTATAATAATTATAATATAAGCTATAGCTATAGACTATAGATAGTCTTAAGGCTTATTCCCTATAGAAATAAGCTATTATAACTATAGCGCTCTAATAATAGCTAAACTATATTAATATAATATTAGTAAGTCTATTAAATTAGGCCCTTATATATTTTATTATACTTATCTTACTATATTAGGGATGGACTTATAATAACGCGGCCTTATATTAGCTCTAGGATTATAAGAAGCACTTTATATAAGTTACTTAATTAATTATATAAAATATAATAAAGGACTAGAGGATTATAGCTATAAATAATAGGCTAACTAAAAAATCCTTAATCCACTAATGTACCTTTTAGGATAAAACTAAAGTAGGCTTAGGCGAACTTATATATATTTAGGATAACTTCTATTAATCAATATTTTAGTAATTTAGGGAACGCTTAGGGGAATAAGTGCGTTATAATTATTTTTAGAATAAAATATAAGACTATAATCTCTTTAAGGTCTTCTTTATCTATCTAAAAGACTTAGCTAATATAATAGCTAACCCTATCTCTAAGAGTATTATTTAGCTATACCTTATTAATAGATCGAAAGCCTAAGCTAAAGGTAAAGTAGCTATAGGAATAAGATCGCCTAAAGAGCTTAATAAGCACTATTAACTATTTTTATTAGCTAGAGTGAGATATAAATCTCGCGCGAGAGATATTAGACTAATAAGACCCTAATACTATAGAAGTTTTAGCTATTAATAAACCGCCTACCCCTAATAGGCCCTTAATAAAGAGAATTCTAGTACTTAGAATAAATTATATATATTTCTATTATAATAAAGTAAGCTACTTTAAGCGCGAATGCCCTAAACTTATAAAGAACTATATAATTTAGGCCTAGGGAAAAGGTATAGGCTAATAAAAGATCTTAAAGCTCTTACTAGCCGCCTTTATCAAGTCTTTTAAATCCCTTTTTTTAATATAATCAACCCCCTAGATAATTTTATCTTACAAAAGCGGAACTAAGACAATATTTAACAGTAAGCGGCATAATTAAACATTATAAGAAATACTTTTATATTCTTTTATAGGAGGCTAGGATTATATAAGGAGGGAGCTATAGAGATAAAAATATTATTAAATAGTAAAGTAAGCCACTTATTTATATTATATAATATAGCTCGAAAGCTTAATAATAAGATCCGATAGCGCGAATTAGACTCTTATAGCAACTATTTAGCGATAGAATTACCGAATAAGAAGAAAATATATATAAGTCGCTCTTATAAAATACTTATATAGATTAGGGAATAGTCTTGCTTAGTAACTATATAGGAGCTAGACCTAAAAGGAATAGAATCTAATTTTAAGATATAACTTCCTATAGAAGTTTAATCTAATCCTAGATTAGCTTATAGCGTTAATAAAGATATGCGACGCCTGTAATAAGATATATATATTGTAAGCTATAAGGAGACTATTATATAAGAATCTATCATAATAATTAAATATAATCTCCTAGAAGTAAACTATATATACGCCAAGAAAAAAAAGATACTAAGGCCTATTTATATTAGGTCTAATTACTCTCTATACCTAATAGGGAGAAGAAGGTTATATATATATTAGTAAGGTATATTGACCTAAGAGTTTAGGGGCTACTAAAGGAATTTTTAGATATCTTCCCTAAAGAACTTCCGAAGTAGTTACCCCCTAAATATAATATTTAATATAATATTAATATAAGGGATATATACCTAATAAATATTAATATATATCTAATATTATATATAAAGCTAGCTAAGTAAGCTAAATAGGTAATAGAACACATCTTAAAGGGACTTATATAGGGGTCGATAAGCCTATAGGGATTCCCTATTATCTTTATTTAGAAACCTAGCGGTAAATAAAGAATATATATTAATTACTAAGTACTTAATAATCTTATAAAAAAGAATAGCTACCCGCTATCCCGGATCTAAGAGCTATTAGATCTAGTAAGACGCTTGAAATTTCTTTCTAAATTAGACTTAGCCTTAGGGTATTAATAAATATATATAGGCGAGGATTCGATCTAAAAAACTATATTTAATACTATCTAAGGTAAATATAAATAGCTTAGAATACTATTTGGGTTATATAATATATTAGCTACCTTTTAAAATATAATAAATAATATCTTATACCTATTATTAAGTAAGTATATAGTAATATACCTAGATAATATTTTAGTATTCTTAGATATAGTAGAGGATCACTACCGCTACCTAAAAGAGATACTAAAATAGTTATAGGAAGTGTAGCTATATATAAAGTTATTAAAATACCTATTTATATAAAGTAAATTAGAATTCTGCGGATATATTATAGGTAATAGAAAGGTAGAACTAATACTTATAATGTGGGAGATCCAGTGGGAGATCCAATGGGAGATCAAGTCTTTTATCCTTCGATGAATAAAAGGATATTTCCTTAATAGGAAACCTTAGGGTATAATATGATGATTGAAGAAGAATTATATTTTTCTTGTAGAGAATTGCGGACATATTTATATCCAATCAACAATATTCTAGGCCTATAATAGACTTATATTATTTTAAGTCTAGGCCTGTCTTGCTTTGAAATCAATTATAGTCTTCTTGAATGACTAAAAGTAATGCTGACAGTCCTTGAATATGCTGAGAATTATTAATAGAAATAAGAAGATAACTAACTAAATATATTTAGTAAATAGCGAAGTTAACCTATAGAATTATTAGCGAAACTTATATCAAATAGGCTTCTAACTTATAGGCTTCGTTATATATATAGTGCCTAAGTTATAAATACTAAAGTAATAAGAGACTAAATATAAAAAGTTAGTAATAAAGGCGCGAACTACCTTCTCGCTATAGATATAAATAATATCTAACTAAATATAATCATTAGTAAGAAGCTTACTATCTTTATGCGCCTTCTTAGCGAACTTAATAATAATAGTCTAAATATCTATGATATACTTAACTAAATTAATTATATTAATTAAGTTACCTTATAAACTAAAGGGAACCTAAATAGGTTAGTAATAAAATATAAGCGAATAAAAAAGATAAATAAACTAAAGGGTAAGAATAATTAACATAAAAATATACTTAATATAAGATAGAACTTAGCGTATTATATATATAAATAATTAAGAAAGCGCTTTATTTATCCTAATCTTAGAGAGAGCGATAAATATAAGGAAAATAATAAGTAAGCTTTAGGATTAAAGATATATCCTATAAAAGGCGATAGCCAAGGGATAAAGGAATAAATATATTAATTTATAAGCGAAATAATAATAAAAATAGAGATAAAAAAAGAAATAAAGAGGAAGCTAAATTAATAATAAGTTATAGCTAAAGAATAAATAAAAAGAAATTAAAATAATAATAAATATAAAAATTAAAGAAAAGTAAGAAGATATTAAAGAAAGGAAAGTAAAGAAAGAAAAGTAAGGAAAGAGAAATAAAAATATATATAAATAAAAATATTAATAATGTATATAAAAAAGTAATAATAATAATACGCTAAATAAATATTAATATATAACCAAAAAGAAAACGCACTAATATATATTACTATTGGCTTAACCAAAATAAAAATACTATTATTATATCGCGGCTAAGACTACCGCGGACCTAAGAAGAGCCTAATATTATTTATAACTTCTACGTGACCTACCCTAAGTATAACGATACTTAGGGCTTGTACCTATTATATAATCCCGAACCCCAAAAGATTAACGTATTTCCCGGTCTTCCCGCCCACCCGGTGTTCCCGCCCACCCCCAAACCCCATAGCAATTGCGATAAATTACAACTCTATATTTCACTAACAATGAGAATTCTATAAAGGCGTTTATAAAATATTATACTCTTATATATATCCTATATAATATTATGTACTTTAAAGTTCATTATATAATCGTGAATACTCGCTGGAAGCGGATAATTATATTTAGCGATATTACTAGCGTAACTTTTGGTAAAGAAGGGTAATATTTGATTACTTCTTATAGGAAATACTCTCAATATAAAAGTATAGCTATAGGCAAAAGATTGGAGTTCAAACAATCATTGGTTATTGAGATATGGAGTTATAATTTATCGCAATTACTATGGGGTTTGGGGTGGGCGGGAACACCGGGAAATACGTTATGTAATCTAGATAATATTAGATAAGAAAAAAATGACTAAGAAAAAAAAAAGACTTTTTTTTTGGTAATTACCTTCGGGGCCTATCGTCTCTAAAAGGGGAGGTAGTTATAAAGGAATACTAAGAACTAGCGGTAAAGGTTTACCCTATAATATAATAAGTGAGTCTCGGATCTAATTCGTACTTAATTCGAGAGGGTTTCCAGATACCTTAGACTTAGCAAGAATCAGTCTTACTTCTTACAATATCACACTCTAGTCCAGATATCCTTCCTTACCTGACCGAGGGGCTTCTACCCTGAACACGTAGATTCTTTACAGGTTAAAAAAGACTGCTCGGGTTAAGGCCCGAGAACGCAATTTAGACCTATGTGACGAATACCTTTACTTTATCTCAGACGGATTCCAATCTTACTACCTTATCTACGTGGATAAATCTGGATATGATAAGAGGATAGGCTTTAGGCGAACGGGTTGGTCCCTATTAGGTATAGCACTAATTTAAGTGTCTAAATTCTATCGCGATAAGCGCTATTAGATACTGCCTGCCTATGCCTAAGATAGTATTCTTCTGTCTCGAGTGTTCTAAGGCTCTACCGATGTGTCCCTCTTTGAGGATTTTATCGAGCAACTTCTCTAGTATTACGGGAAATGGCCCGAGCCGAAAGTCTGTGTTAGTTATAGATAACGCATCCTTTTATCACTCAGAGCGCATAGAACAGATGTGCTGAGAAGCCGAAGTGAAGCTAGTCTTTTTGCCTCCGTATTCTCCAGACTTGAACCCTATTAAGGAGTTCTTTGCTGAGTTAAAAGCCTTTATTCGGCGGAATTGGCAGTCCTACGAAGAAAATTCAAGCCAAGGATTTGATACCTTCCTCGAATGGTGTGTTGACATCGTTGGTGCAAGGGGTAAAAGCGCAGCGGGACACTTCCGGCACGCAGGCCTGACCATAGTGGAGACATGAAGGGGCCACTTTCTTTCAACTTCATTTCGACGGTTCACTCGCCGCTTTATTCTGGATTTTGGCAGTATTTATAAATTCAACATGAAAACAACTTCCAGGCACATAAAATGTCTTCGCGCTAACAGAATCAATGCAGCGATTTGTTATATAGTGAGCACGAAAACAAATTCCCCTAGAAACTTCCTCGTGGAATTGCCCAGTTATGCTTAAGCCTCGCATTCGAACTCAATGAAATAGTTAATCGCTGCAGAAGCTTTTGAATTTTTACACTCATATTCGAAATTGGCTTCCGTGTTTCACAGAGAAACTATCTCAAACCCTAATGCCAAGGCCATGGTGAAGCCTATCTAGGTCAGGTGCAGCTATCTGCATATCATCCCTGCACGTAAGGACGGAACTGTAAAATATCTGACAAAACAAATACGGATGGGTCCCTTAGATTACCCGTTATGCAAATACGCCTTCTCTCACATTGCTGGTCCTCATGTTCCCACGAGCCCAGGTTTGCAAACTCAAAACCCCCCCCCCTCCCCCTCCTCCCAAAAAAACAACACCTACGACGCAAAATGGCCCCAAATCTACCTTTTCCTAGCGAGGATTGATTGGAATGCTCGAGATTGTGATCATACAAGATGGGACTGATCTTGTTTTCCGGGGCCGAGCCGGCTCCGAAGGTGGCGATATCAGCCCGATATACCGAATTAGATCGGTGACTCATGGATTTGGGTAGTAAGTCGGTTATTTTCGATGCTGCGACATACCTAGATGGCTCTATATATAGCTCGAGACCCTATTGAAAGATGACCATCTTAGCGTCATCACTCGATCGGGGAACTACCCGATCATCGGATTCCCAATATGGAGAATTTTTCCCGATGGTTTCCTACGCGTGGTTGTCATCACCATTATACTGCCACAATAAGCCGCCACTCTTACACGTCATTTAGACAACCATTTAAAGGTATCCAAAAGCTCATTTGGTCATCCACAGATCGACTGGCTCATACTCCCAGCTTCGCAATAATGAGGAGTTATCCACTTTCTATTGCAAATCCCACACCTAAACACCAAATACCACTCGCTGCTAAATGTTGAAATGAACAGAGTACGATCTCGAACGACAAGAACCCCAGAGAGCACCGAGGCCTGGATTCTTGGGAGCGGGCCAGCATCCCTGGCATCGGCGCTTTACTTGGTGCAGCATGCGAAATTACCCGCCTCAAATGTGCACATACTAGACTGCCACGATTCGATGGAACAAGTTGTACACCATACTGGAGATACAACGCACGGGTATGACTTGCTCGCCGGATGCCTACCTTTTCCGGTCGGAGAGCCTTTAAAGGAGCTTCTTGCTTCTGTCCCTTCACCCAGAGGCGAGGGATATATGGTTTTGGACGAGATCAAATCGTCTGAGGCCAGAAAGGGCTATGCGAAGACAACACGTCGAACACGCTTCATGATAGGAAAAGATGGAAAACTGGATTACTTTCCGACTAAGTCCTTAGGCCTTAGTCCAAAAAACCGACTGGACTTGATACGGTTTCTTTGCAAAGGAGAAAGGCGAATGGGCAGAAGAAGGATACAGGAACTTTTGCCCAAGTCTTTCTTCCAGAGTACCTTTTGGGCTATTTGGACCGCTCAGTAAATATCGCTCATGATTTGAGATTTATGTAATAACGCACGGTCTAACAGATGATGTGTTACTGCTCTATCAGGTTCGGGTTCCAGCCCTGGCACAGCGCAATCGAATTCAAACGCGCCATACGTCAGTATCTCGGTCGACATCATGGCCTTAGCATTCTGAACTGCTTAGACCTCACGGGGTACTACCGATACGAGTCCATTTACGTTTCTATATTCCTATATCTACAGGGTCTCGGCGTGGACTTCCACTTCGATACTCTGGTGACCGGCATTACGATGACGTCTCAAGACGGCAAAGACAGGGTCTCGCAGTTGGATCTGATTGAAAATGGATTTCAATCTCAAAAGTCCATTGACGCGCAGGACATTATTATTATCACACTCGGCTCCACTATTTCTGGCACGGCGACCGGTACGAACGAATCTCCTCCGCTGTTGGACTTCACGAATTTGGAAGGTGAACTTAATGAAAACTGGGTGTTGTGGCTGGAGATTGGAGACCAAAGTCCCAAATTTGGGAATCCGTATAACTTCTGCACCCGCCAGTTTGAATCATTAATGGGTTCTTTTACCATCACTACTCGGGACCCTCGCCTTCATGGAATTTTGGAATCGCTGACGAATGGTATAACCGACGACGGAATTTTCATCTCCGTACCCGACAGCCCTTGGAAGCTAAATCTCTGTTCACCTGCGCAACCAGTCGTGAACCAACAGCCACAGAACCTGCGCGTGATGTGGGGCTTTGCGGTATATCCCAGGCGCAGTGGAAGCTTTGTCAACAAGCCCATGAAGGCATGTTCAGGAGCCGAAATCTTGACGGAGCTCTTCAAGCATTTGGACTTTCCTCTTTCGACTCAACAAACTGTGGCCACCCCTCGCGTGATGCCAAGAATGTGGGCTATGTTACTAGCTCGCTCTTCCACCGATCGTCCAACTCCTATCCCATTGAGCACCACCAATATCGGTCTGGTTGGGCCATTTGTCGACATTCCCCATTTCACGTGCGTGGACCCAAGTTACGACGTTCGTACAGCGGAGATGGCTGTGTCCAACCTGATGGATCTGCCTATGTCAAAGCCCCGGGATAAGAATCAACCAATATTAGATATGCTGAGGCTTTTGTTTTGGAAGTGAAATGAGATTCCGATGGTCATACGAGCCGAAATGGCATTTCTGAATTCCCAAGATCTTGAGGAACTTGGAGGGGTTGGCTTGGCGACGCGAATCCTTCTCATTTACCAGTACCATCACACTATGAGTTTGTGTATTGATGTGTATGTAGGTATTTGCGAAGCTCTGAATCAGCACGAGCGGCAAATTAGAGGATCTTGCGTGTAATGAAAATTGGGGTGGAACCGAATCGAGTATATCATGGGCGTTCAGACTAATTTTCACGAATAGTCAGACGAGAGGCTTCTTCGATTCAGTCCAATCGGCAACCGTGCACTTGATAACCCCTGGTTTCCCTGCCGTATTGATGTTTGAAAGGAAAGTACTTGGTAAGTTTGACGTTGCGATTCCCGCCCGGGTCTGCGCTACCCCCACCAGGCCTAGCTTGTTTCGACTCAGGGTTTCAGTAACCATTTTCTCATGCAATGCATGGAAGCCAATTTCGAATGTTAGTGTACGAAACTCTGCAGCAAAGAACCAAACATTGGGATGAATTTTTGGCCTGACTAATCTACATTGCGACTGAAACCATGGCTATATGCAAACATTGCAAACACATATGACTGCCAAGATTAAGCGGGGCCGCTCCCGCGTGCATGACAGCCAGGAAATTTTGCAATTTACCGCGAAAAGGGTGGACCCAAGGACGTGTAAATGCCCATTCAAGGTGAATGAGAACAGGGTTTGGTAACAAATTGTTGACGCGCATCCCCTGTCCCCCAATCCACTTGTCAGCATAGCGGGTGGACCAAACCCGCAGGCGTCTACGAGGTGGCGCGGACAGAAACAAGTCCTGATCATTGGTAGCTTCGCGAATCTTGGTCTTCAAGCTTTGTATTGCCCGCTTCTACAACCTGTCCATGTCTTCATTTCCCGACTTCACCTCCTACATCTTGTGACAGTCCATCTGTGATGAGCGCACGGCCATTCTTCCATTTGTTCAGCTCCCTGCAGATGTTGAAAGCTACATATCTGCATCTTGCCTAATGTTGATTGGCGACAAGAACAAACGTGCCAGAGAATTGTCAAACTTTGCCACTTTTATCAAACTAGAGCGTTTGTCCTCAACGCCAATATCGTTAGTTCAACGACACTCTTCGTGGAAAGACCCGGTTCAATGTCTGCTTTCAATTCAGGACATAGCAAAAGTGATAATCGACGTGGGCAAGAACCGAAACCGAAACCATGAGTACGGCCTTTGCCTTGATTACAAATTCAAATGGTTCACAATCGTCGCAACCGCCGACTCCCAATTCCGAAATCAATATATTGCCTAATCGTTACGAGTATGCCGACACGTCTGTCCTAGTTGTATTAATCACGGACATCAAACATTAATGACAAAATATCACTTCACCAAAACGAACTTACTCGGTTCCACTCGCGAACTCCACCGCAAGTTTCTGTGCTCGGCTACCTTCAACGACTGGTCACACATGCTAATCTTTCGCCTCCGATCCTTCTCAGCATAGTGTATTATATTGACCTGCATTATACCCTTTAAGACTTATAATTTATATATCTAATAACTCTAAATACTAAGTATATTTTATTTATTATTAACAGATAATATATAAATATTTTATTAAGCTTAAATAATTATCTTAGAAAAAAGCTTACTTATTTAGATAATACTCATTAAATAGGCCGCGAATATTTTAGCTAAGAATACTTACCTTCGCGAGGCGGAACTTTAACGTACGGAATATAAATATATATATATTTAGGAAGATCCGCTTTAATAGCTAATAAATATCCTTAAATAGGTATAAATTAAACTAATTAATACCCTAAATATTTCTAAAGCTATCTATTTAATATTGTTCTAACTTAAGAGCGCTTAGAAGGCTATTTAGAAGGTAGTCTTAAAGAATATTTATCTTATCAATATTTATTAAGATATAGTCAAGTCTGATATTATATAAAAGTACTTATATAATTACGAACTTTATTTCCGCGAAATTATTACTTTTCTAGGTATAGAGCTAAATGAAAGCTCTAAGATTATTTATACTAATAAATAATTACTTAACCGTACTACTAAAATTTAGCGTATATATATAGAATAGGTTATAAGAATGTTATAAAGGAATACCAAGGACTAGCGGTGAAGGTTTACCCCGCAGTGTAATAAGCGAGTCTCGGACCCGATTCGTACTTAATTCGAGAGGGTTTTCAGATAACTTAGACTTAGTAAGAATTAGTCTTATTTCTAATAATATCACACTTTAGTCTAAATATCCTTCCTTACCTAATTAATAGGCTTTTACCCTAAATATATAGATTCTTTATAATTCTGATTCTTCTTTTATTAGTTACCTGAGGAATTATATCTATTAACGATTATATCCTCCGCTCTCGCGTTATTGCCGAAAGTAATAATACACCTATATTAGATAAGGCTACTATTATATTTTAGCGTAAAGATATTACTAATTTAACCCTAAAACTAAGCCGACCTAAATTAATCTCCTTTAATCTATTATAATATAAATTACTCCTAGGAGACCTACGCGGATATTAAGTGAGTTATAAGGAAAGCTAAAATTATAGCTAAACTATTAAAGACTAAATTAAGGATCTTAATAAGAAAATTTGCCTCCTTAAATATATATAGGAGCTTAAAGGGGACTAAACTATATTAGTTTTAATAGGGGCCTAGCTATAAAATAAGGATAAATTAATTATAAGTTATAATAAGAAGGGTATCAAGATGAAAGATATCCCTTTCTTTTTAGAGGATTTTAATCTATAAAAATATTAGAAATAAATTCTTAACCTTAAATATTAATTTAAATTTAACCTAAAATAGTACCTATTGGAATATAGACCAATGCTACATAGAAAGATCTATCCTTATATTCAACATATAAGACCAGATTGTATTGATCACGTGATCAGATTTTTTCCTTCTATCAAAATGATATTTTGACCACTTCTGATTCTGGTCCGCGGCCCTCTCCCGAATGATAGGCGGGACCATTTTCCTTCAGAGGTAAATGGTCCGCCTTCAGGCATGAATGGTCCGTTCCTTCGGAGGTGCCTTCGGGCATATCTTGCCTGCGGACTTCGACCATGGTCTTCGGACCTCGGTGAACAGACTTCGACCCTCGGTCCCCTTAAGGATAGGCGGACCACTTTCCCCGGCATGCATAGCCTGATACTGCGGGGAAGCTTTCGGGGTGGCTGAAACCGTCGATCCTTGACATCATTCTTTTGGGTTTTCTTCGGTTCCCTTCTTTGCCACCTTTATTATGTTGCTGCCTAGTATTTGTATGTTTTTCTAGACATTATTTCTAGGCTATTTTAGCCTATAAATATGTCCTTCTATTCTAGCAGAAAGAATCAAGTCAGTTCTACTTTCCTGAAGTCATTTTCCACTTTCCAAAAAGTTATCTCTACCTTCTTCCTTTGATCCTTAGGACTGTGGTTCTGCCTTCGTTTAGGCTATATCTGCTTATAGTCTATCCTACGACCTTTGACCTTCTACCTTCGTCTGGCACCGACTGACCCAGCCGGATTAAGGTTGATCCCACGGACTTAAGGGGCCACGATCTGCTTCGTGGTAGCTTTCCCCTTATATCCCGACAGTACCTTATTAATTAAAAAAAGATATTTATTAATATAATAATAATAAAATATAACTATCGCTAAAGATCGCTATAATATATAGATATAAAGCCTATAGAGGAATAATAAGACCTTAAAATTTTATAAATAGACTTTAAAGACTAAATAATTACCCTCCTATATAGTATAGTTACCCTATAAGCTAATATAAGTGGTAGATACCTTTAGCGTATATATAAGAGAGGCGAGGGTGTCTATCTTTATTAATATAGGGGAAGGGCTAGCTAGTAAATATTATATATTAGCTATTAATCGCTAAGGGTATAGAGATCGAGTTATAACTTACTTACTTTACTCCCTAAGACTAAAGTTTAGGATATCTTCGCTAGCGCGGGGAGCCTAAGACTCCCGATCTCCGCTATATAATAGTTAGTATTAAGGATATTATCTAAGGATTAAAAGGATATATATAATAAATTATAATTACCACTACTATTATAATTATTATTATTATAATTATTACTACTATAACTACCGCGATCTTTATTATAGCGAGAGACAGAAGAGGAACTAAAACTGAATTAGTTTAACCTTATATAATTATTAGGGTTCGTATAAGGAGCGTATCTTAATATAGTTATATATTAAGCAAAGAGAGAATAAGGGGGGGAGCTTTTATAGGGTAAGGTAATTAGGGATTTTAAGAAAAAAAAAAGTAAAGATAAAAATAGTAATTATTAGAGTAAAAAAGTTATTAGGGAAGAGAGATATAAAGAAAGGTAAGTTCGAAGGGGAAGAGAAGTTAGTTTTATATTTAATATTACATATTAATCCGAGATATATCTATTATCTTAGTCTATTAAGTATATTATATATTTATATTAAGGTAACTGCCTAAGCCCTATTATCTAAGATAATTAAGCATATTATACGTTTGCATCAAGGTAACTGCCTAAGCCCCCTTGTCCGAGACTATTAAGCATATTGTGCGTTTGTATTAAGGTGACTGCCTAAGGTGACTGCCTAAGCCCTATTATCTAAGACTAATTGTCCAAGACTATTGAGTAAATTGTGCGTTTATATTGAGGTGACTGCCTGAGCCCTATTATCCAAGACTATTAAGTATATTAAGGTGACTGCCTAAGCCCTATTATCCGAGACTATTAAGTATATTATATATTTATATTAAGGTAGCTATATTAGTCCTATTATATAATACTATTAAGTATATTATCTAACTTTAATAATATAACTACCTTAGTCCTATTATATAAGTCTATTAAGATAATTACCTTAGTCCTATTATACAAGTCTACTAAAGTAACTATATCTATCCTATAATCTAACTTCAATAGGGTAACTACCTTAGTCCTATTATATAAGTCTATTAAACC